AACCCAAACCAGTCTGGGATTCTATGACTTGGGGGAGTGGAGTAAGGGAAAAACAAAGACAGCCAAACCAGCAGTTTGGGTGTAACGAGTTCTAGTTGAAACTGTACCAGGATATCTGGGACAGAGGATGGGAAGACATAAAAGTTAAGCGGTAGATGCAGAAGCATAGCTGCCTGTCCCTGCATCCTTTCCTACAGAGAAATCTCAGGCATTAATACAGTATTTCATAGCCAGTAGCCATCAGATTTTGGGACTTTCTTTCCCAATCAACTCCACTTATTAGATGATGTTAACATACCTTTCTTCTATCAGTGCACCACCTCACCTGCTTTTCTTCCAGGTGTTTTCCCTCAGAAGGTGTACCAACACAATTCACTAATCAACTTAGAGAAAGCAAAAGACATTACCAGAAACAGTGCAAAAGATGTCATGAATCCTTCCTTTGTTAGCTCCCACGTCCCGCCATACTCCTCCTCATCTATCTGCTGGAAGCTGCTGAAGTAGAGGTACAGAACACCAGCATTGATCAGGCAGAATCTGGAAGAAAGAGAATAGGAACTGTCGTTTTGGTGATGCAGGGTGCAGGTATCCAACATATCATACAGCAACGTAGCAGTGAAACGTCCTTCGTCCGCACCAGAGAGGAAGCAGAGAGGAACACCATTCCTGTAACGCTTCCCAGGCAGCCGGGTCACTTCCTCAACAGAGCACCCCAGGTCAGCCTGCTGTAGCACGCTAGGTTTGGATGAAGTTCACCCTACAAGGCACAGCCTACTCCTAGTAAGGCTCAACAGACAGCAGTCAAAAGCTGGAAACATCAGCAGATCTGCAAACCCTGCACGTTTTCCTATCCTGCAGATCAGCAGCAGTCCTGCTACCACACAGAATCCAATTTCCTCGTGTGTGCTACTTAATTTGAGGCTGCTAAGGGGGAAGATTGTTAGACTCTGCTCAGTGTTAGAACCCTGTTAGCATCCCATGACCAAACGCAGCGACTTAGAGATGAGAGCCAGAGCAGACTCGATAGTGCCCTCAGAGCCATAGCACCGGGGTTCAACTCAAGACAACTCAACACTCTCTAGTCTGTGCCAACAGTTACGCTGCAACGGAGAGAAAAAATATCACCTCCTGTTTGTCCTTAGACACATTTGGCTTTATACCACCCCAACTTAAGGCTGGGGCAACCTGGGAAATGACAGGTACATTTCCTGGAAAGAAGGCTGTGCAGGAGGGGCAATGTGGGAAGATGTATGCACAAGTTCGGTGACTGGCAGTGAAGCTGTGCGACTGCAACCACACAGAAACCATGCACACAGTTCTAGAAGCTTTTTGTTTTTCCGCTGTACACCAAATCACTTGAATTTCTTAGTAATGTTTAGCACAGGAATTGGCTTAGGTGCCTGAAGGCACCTTGTGAATTAATGGATGACTAAGAACACCACTTCTCAGCTACTCCACATCTGTTACTGGGAGCACTTTAGATTTAACCGTTTGCATGTAGCTATCGAGCTCCTGTTGGAGCATCTCTGCTTTACAGCCTCTTTTCCCTAAATTTCAAACTTTTTTCTTTTTTCTTTTTCTCTCCTTAGAGACACTTACTGCTACTCCCTCCGCTTTCTTGCCACAGCCAGGACACTCAGGATGAGGGACAAGATGACAAGTCAATTTTGCCTAAGTGAGGTCATGAGCTTGACTAGACCTTGACTAGGCAGAGCCATTTGCAACCAGAGACTCCCCAAAGCAGACACAGCGTCTCCCCACGCCCAGTCTTCGGAGAGCAGGGCTGCGTTTCCCATCTCTGGTGTCCCTCCAGAGGCTTTTAGGCATGTGCCAGGGCCAAACAAATTTTCATTTCATAACTCGGAGTGCTCGCCGCAGCCTTTGGACCGCTGCTGAGAGGTGAGCTGAATCCGATGCGTATGCACCCTTCTAGGCACTGCCTTTCCCCCGCACCACGGCCGAAAGGACAACTTCAGTGAGCTGGGAGCGCTGCAGGAGCACTGCCAACGGCGCCGCTTTGCCTGTTTGTTACCTACGGTCTTTGGCGCTGTGAAGAAACCTTTTCTTGTTCAAAGAGAAGCTGTCCCTCTTGTCTACTAACAGAACCTCCTCTCTGAGGAGGGCTCCTGACTCCAAGAGAAGGGCTACTACACCTTCCCCTCTATGGGCCATACTTAGGTGGCCACACTAGGCACCATACTCATAGCCCCTATTCGCACATGCAGGAACAGGCTGTTTCACATGTCAACTGAACCTCTCGTTCCCTTCTTCTACCCATGCCTCCTTTAATAACAATAAAATAAATAATAATTTTAAAAAGTATTAATCAGGCTGAGGGAAGATAAATGCTGATGAAGACATGATTTATGTGAATTTCATGACAAATAACAGTCTGGAATGCAACGCTGGCTTCAAGACACATGGTGGACAGAGACTGCGTTTGAGCAGCTCGTTGTTTATAAGCACAACTTTAAACCAGACACCAAGTAAAGTCCAAATGTGGGAAAGTACATGAGACAGAAAAGGAAATAAACCTTACACTGCTATTCCCACGAATCCCTTCAGTGGAACTACTCCCCAGATGATTCCCAAAATAACTGCAATGATCTGCCGGAACCAGTAGATCACATCTAAAAATTCGTCCTGAGGAGATAAAGCACAAGAAAGATTTTGGCATTTACTATGTTTCCTTTTTTTTAAAGCATTATACAATTAACAGGTGAAAATTTCACACACCGAACATTTAATTTTCCATTTGAAGTATAAGATATTGTGCTCAGAGCAGATGACAGCAGCTTGTGGCATCACGCACCTTGGACTTCTCTGCTTCCAAATTAAATACATGGCTTTGTCCTCCAATGGGCTAACTGCAGAGGCAGACAAGTATCTAGTCCTCCTTTTTACTAAAGATTAAATTCTATAAAAATTCACTGGAATAAAAGTTTAAAGAACCATTTACGCTTCAAGACTGTTATAGCCACCCTCAGCGCTCCCGGCCCTCCCCTGCACAGAAACAAGTGCTACCAGTAGCCAGTACTCACCCCAACGCCAAACCACAAACCATATCACAGAATCCCAGACTGGTTGGGGTTGGA